AAAAGAGAGAGGAAAAACAGTCACATAAAAAGACTAGGAACCAGAATATCACTAGGCTTGCTTACAACAATATTAGAAGCTTAACAAAAATAAGGCCATATCTTCAGAATTGTGGAGAAAATAATTTCTAAGTTAAAATTCTATATCCTTCCAAACCATCAGTGGGTATGAGGATAAAGTGAATGTATTTTCAGAAATGTTTAGACATGCAGCTACTCAAAAAATTCCATCGCTTTACCCTTTTCTGCAAAGCCTCCATGCCCAATTCAGTGAAATAAAACAAAAAAGAAAACTCAGTTACTCTTGTGTGCTAGTTCACTGTGGTGTCAACTTGAATAGATTAATAAACACTTGTGCTTAGGAGCACAACTATGAGAGTGCCTGGAGGACTGACTTGTAAACTGCAAACAGAGAGGAGAAGACCCACCCTGGACATGGGTGTCCCCAACCAAAAGGCTCGTGGCCTGGATGGAATGAAAAAGGAAAAAAAAGGTCTTCCCTTTTGTTTCTTTAGAGGAGCTCGTCTTCACCATTGCCTTTGGATGTTCATCTCCAGTTCCTTCAGAGTTCCAGCACACTCTTCAGCCTTCCTATGAAGACCCTGGGCTTTCCAAAACAGACATGTACCAGGCTTCCCCGTGAGCTCCAGGCCCTCGACTTCTGACTGGACCCTATGGCTCTCCATGGCTCTCCAATGTGTGATGACTCTTTTGCATTCTTTTACTCTTGACTCTGCAGGCGTCACTGTAAGCCTATTCGTAAATCTTTTATAGCATACATACATTTTATATTAAATCTGTTCTAGTTAACTCTGATATAGTCCTATTCTTCACAGTTAGTCATGGACAAATATTTGTCTTTCTAAATTACATGTATCTAAAACATTTAAATTTTTAAAAAGCACATAAATTCAAAAAGGTGAACTCTCTTTGTAGCCTGGCTGAGAACTGTTTGGTGAAAAAACACTAAGTCATCCAAATTCAAGTTTGGAACTTTAATCTTACCTATTAAAAGTGAGTAAAAAGTGGCAAAGACATTTAATGCAATTTTTTTGTACTGCAAATAATGAACAGTTGTAAACTAGCCTTTTAATGTTCACTTTAAAAAAACATACACAGTTACACTACATCACCAGTACAGACCTTTAAGAAAGTGAGGTTACTGAGATCATTATAAAAATAAGAGCTAGTGGCTTGGCTGAAAAAAGGAGGACACATACTATATAGATTCAGAAAGTGCTCAAACTTGTACTCTGGAAACCACTGAATGGCTCTGATCTGGTAAAGACACTGAAAATGAACAGTTCAGGTAAAATTATTCATGAAATGAGTAATAAAAAAAGTACATTACTAAATGAGATACTTATTAAAAATAAATGGGAGCTAGATTAACTATTCTAAGTAAACAAAAAGATAAAATGAATTAGCTATTAAGTTGGTTCCCCAAAACATCTTTGTTTTCATCAAAGAGGAGGCAAGAATGGCAGCAGGGAGAAGCTGTCATTCTTCAAAATCTGAGATCATGACTTAATTGCATTTGGGCCCCCAAACCATCTGATGATGAATAAGCACCTCTCCTGTCTCTTTATCATCTCAATTTGTTTCTTGTCTTCATAGTACTCATCATTACCTAGTATCTTCTTTTCACTTATTGACTGCTATGGCTTATATCTAGACACTCCCCCAAAACCTCCTGTGTTCACAAGTGGGGGTTTGGGGAGGTGGCCAGATCATGGGTGTGGAACGTTAGATTAGTCTGCTGGTTGGTCCAGCACAGTTCTGGGTGTGAATGATGGATTTACAGAAGAGGGGAGACCCACCCTGGGTGTGTACCCTGGATGGAGAAAAAAAGGAAAGAAAAAGGAAGGCTTGCTGCTTCCTGCCTACCTTGCCACAAGCTTTTTCTCTCTGCCATTTCATTCTGCCATGCTGCCCTGCCTTGGAGCTAGACAGCTATGGGCTGAAACTTCTACAAACTGTAAGCCCAAATACACCCTTGCTCCTTTAATTTGTGGGTGTCAGGTATTGTGTCCCAGCAATGAAAGTAATGAAGATATTGATCTATAAGCTTAGTCTATCTCACTCACCAGAATGTAAGCTCAATGAAACCAGGGCCCTGTCGTGTTATTCACAACCAAAAGCAACCTGAATGTTACTCAATGCCTCCCACATCAGCATTCAGTAAAAATTAATCAGATACAGTGAATGAATAAGGCCCACGGAGACCCACTAAACAGTGTGCATTGATTAAATATGCCTCACAACTTTGGGATCATCTTCTTTTTTGCAGCGTGGGGTGGGGGGTGGTCCACCATCTTCTGATAACAGAAGAAAATGGCTTTCTCTCTCACAATTCCTATAAGAGTTTATGGTGATCCCTGGTGTTGAAACCTTCCACTCACGGACTACACTCAGAGTAGAGTTGTAGCTCTGAGCAGCCTTTGTTCTCTGCACAATTCTCAGGAGTGTATCTAACCGTCTCAGTTACAGAGAAGAGGGGGTCTATTATATAGCTACTGCAAGAAGCACGGCACCATAGGGGAAATACACCTGATAATAGAATGGCATCGTGTTCAGAAGCAAAATAACTGGCTTATTCATTACCTCAAGAGGACAATTTGCTCTATCATTGTGAAGGAAGAGTCTTTCTACTTTTACTCAATTTGAACCCTTGCCATGGCTTTAGAGAATCCAAACCCTTTAGTATGGAACCCAAGTCCTTTCACAGTTGGACTACTTTCTTCTCCCAGATCTGGTTTCTCCTTCATCAACAAGGCTCCGGCTGAAGCAAACGGTTTCCAGTTTCCTGAAAAAGCCGGGATGTTTCTTTCCTCAGAGCTTCTGCTTACTCAGCTTCTGTGAGAGAAGCCCTTCCATCCTGGTCCACTTGGGACTCATCAGTAAAGGGTCTATGAAACCTTTTCTAGCACATTCCTTGAGGAGAAATCCTAAAACTCCATTTCCCACCACTCCCAGACATTGACCTTGATGCCGATCCTCAAAACTCTCATTCTCATTTGCCATGAGTGAAAAAAATTGTCCTTCCAGGCTTTTATAGCATGTTCCCAAGGTTTTTCGATTCTCCATTCAAACACCACTTCCTATGAAGGGAAGGACATGGTGTCTTTGACTATTGTAACCAAAGAAATTCTTCCTTTCCTCATTTTCCTAAAGAAAACTATCTCTGCTCTAGCCCCTTACCCTAGCTTACATTTTCTTTCTAGTCCTGGTCTAACATCATATGTTTAGTAATGAAACTGTCCTTCTTTCTAAAATACAAGCCCCATGATAGTGGATCTTTGTTTTATTTACAGCTGTAAGTATATAAATTAACAAATTAATGGCACTTATGGTTGATTATTACACACCTTAGCTCAAAATGTTGCTATTCCCCTTAGTCTCACTTCCTTCCTGATTAATTTCTCAGTACTCCTTATATGACTGAAGGACATAAAATATAATTACCCATAAAATAATTCTCAACAAAGGAACTCTGAATCCATGTATTTTGCATAAGGTGAAGAATATAGCTCTATTTCCACAATTCCTTTATCTGAAATTCTTAGGTCCAGATATGTTTTAAAATTCAGAAACATTTATTACTTAACACCCTGGGATCAATACTCTAGAACCAAACACATTAATAGCTCTCAACAAAATAAGTGAACAGACCTATTATTTGTGATAAATAATGCTCAGGCCAGCTTTTGCTGTGAAGCAGGTAATCAAAGCAAATTTTAAGAGTTGAGAGCCAGACACAGTGGTGCACACCTGTAATCCCAGCACTAGGGTTAGAGGATTGATGCAAGTTCTAGTTCACTCTGGGCTAACAATGAGTTCTAGGCCAGCCTGAACTGAAGAGTGACCATCCCTGAAAAAAAAAAAAAAAAAAAAAAGAAAGAAAGAAAGAAAAGAAATAAAAACCAAATAAAAATATAGAATGGGGAATTTTGGAATTACAGGTGAGAATTTGTGGCTATGTACTTAAACACAGATATCTGTGGAATAGCTCCATGCTGAACAGAGATCTACATATTCCAGAATGTTAAGAACCTGATTTAATGTATTTCTTTAAAATATCTATTTTTAAATTACAGTTTAACAGAATGAAGGGCTTACTATGCGTCACCTTTGCACTAAGTTATTTAAATGTGGATGTGAACAATTATTTGCCCTGTTTTACCGGTGAGGAAACTGGGACTTCAACAGAGCTTTAGTAGTTTGCAAGCACAGCTAGTCACTGGCCAGTGTGGACGCAAATCAAACCTGTTTTGCAATAACAAGCCATGCACTGGACCACCTCGCCGTCCTAACTTCATACAGCACAAGGTAAAAATGCTTCACTCTTGCAAAGTTTCTTTGTGAGGTTCAGTCTAAAGGAAGTTTCCATACTCAAGTGAATGTGAAAATCCTCAGGCTGTAAGTTCTTCTTTGTTAAAAACAGGCTGGGTATACGTAGCCAAACACTTAAATTGTCTCTTCAGGTAAACCAATGTTTTAGAAATTGGGGATGAGAGACCTAATGATTTCAGATAATTTAAAAAATATAGTTACAGTAATTTTCCTTGGTTTCCTTTACCGAACAACGGTCTACAGATCCCAGGTTTGCCCTCTCTCGATAGATGTGAGAATGGAAGAAAAGGTCAAAAGGCACTAATTATAGGTAATATGGAAACAGTATCATTTTCAAGAACACCTCAGTTTCTTGAATTGTTTCAGGCCAGGCAGAAGTTAATAAAATGTATTAGTGATGAACAAATTTTGAACTCCTTTGGAATCAAGTATATCAGTGATAGTCTGGCATCAAGGAGTTAGCTATATAAGAACAATAAAGCTAGATTTAAAAAAAAAAATCTGTACATATGACTACAGCTTCAACGGAAGACACAGTTTTAGACCTTGCCACGCTTATGGGAAAACCTCAAATTATGAAATGTAGAGTAGCAAAAACACAGCACATGAAAACGAGGATTAAGAAATGAAAATAACATGTACACTAAACACATCACAACAGAAACAGGCTTTATTTCACCCAGACAAGTCAATTTCTCAATTAGTATCAACTTCAAGATTTAAAGATATGGAAATTAAAGATGGTGCTCAGAAGGCAGAAAAAGGAAGATTCCTCATGGAGCAATTTCACTGCCCTTAAAAATCCCTTTCAGCGATAACTCAGATCATTAGATCTCGTGTGTTCCAATCTGTGAACAAGACCCTCATTTGAAAGTTAGTGGAATCTTTCAAAAATTATGGAGATTAGTGGCATAGATTAATTTTTAATTTTAGAAACTGGCATTAAGGTCCAGTTTTTAGTTTAAAATATTAAAAATAAAGAGGACATTAACATTATTATTTAAGATGTCTTGTTACAAAGCTCCTAGGTACATACATATACAAAACAGATGGTTATTACTAGTTGATACCTCAAATCATGATTTCCCCTAAATCTTACAAATAATTGAGCTACTGGGAGATTTCCAAACTTCTTGCACAAGGATTTGATGTCATTTATATGTATATGTCAGTAAGGGCATTTTATCGCAAAATATTTCAATTTAACATAATGTAGCATAAAATAAATCCAATGAAACACTGCATTTATAAGGGATAAAATAAAATTTCAGGTAGTTTTAATTTTCTGCCAAACTTATTAAGTTTATTAATATTTCTTGAGTCTTCTCTTTATGGGCATTCTTAAGACCTTAAATTGGGTATTAAATTTTTTAAGGAGTTGGTCAGCACCTTGGTTGATATGAACAATTACATTAAAGAGAAGCTATGGGAAAGGGGGAGGAAAGCATTCGAGGGTACAAACGGGGAAGGGTTCTTTTCTCCCCCATGAGACATTCACACAGAAAAAAAACAAAAGAAGGATAAACAAACAAACAAAAATAGTGTTCACAGTAAAACATGCCAGATTTGCAGTTTCATTTGAAACCAACAGTGAATCATGAAACGTCATGAAAAATATAAGTAAAGTAAAATCTCCTAGAGTAATTACTAAATGAAGTTAAAATTATCACACTGATCAGTAAACCCCAGAAGAAAAATGAACAGCACTTACATTTCAGGTCCTTCTTAGGCATCAAACAATTTTTCAAAGTTAATACATAAAATTGGTAGGTTTGGCCACGCTGCACAAAAATTTTTTTTAAAAAATACAGTATACAGAAAAAACTCTTCTATGCCCCATTTTGAATCATACGCTCAAAACCTAAGAATAAAAGATCAGCTAGAAGGATTTTCAATTATTTACAAATCCAGCAGGTTCAATCTGCCATAATGGCTTGGCTTCCGTTCCATAGCAATCTCCACCTTCTCCAGCAGCAACTGTCAGTTCTCTGTGCTCGCTGGAGCCCACTCCAACTCTGCTCATCTCTACTGGTCATCTGTCATTTTGAACAGTTCCAACAGTGCCCCAACAGCTCCAAAATAGCCCTATAAAAACAATGGAAAATTCTGTAGGATTGTCTCTCAACTGGAGCCAAAGACCTACTATGTTTAATAATTCTAGCATGCTGCTTCCTTATTTTACAGGGGAGGGAGAAAATTAAAATCTGAACTCTCAGGCTGGGGATATAGCTCAGTGACAAGCTCATGCTTGACAAGCGAGCCCATGGGGTCAATCCCCATTACCATAAACAAAACAAAACAAACTGTTTGCTAGGAAACACTGTGAAATGACAGCAAAAAATTTTTGAATGCCTACTTGCTTATGCATATTAAATAAGTTAACACATGTAAAGAGTTTAGAATAGTATCTGATACATGGTATGTACTAAGTAAATGGTGGATACTGCTAGTATTATAACTTTTGTTTCAGTCTTTTTTTAAAGAGAATAAAAAAATAACAAGATAACAACAGCACAGACAAAAAACAAAACAAAGCAAAACCAATAAAAATTATACAGGGCTTCAAAACAAAACAATTTGTTTCAGTCTTTGCCATGACAAAATTCACATTATTTCACAGAGGAGAAATGGAGGTAATAAAGTAAATTATTACTCTTTCAAGAACTTGTGCCAGGGCTCAGTGCTCAATTCTGTCTAGTAGCAATACTGTGTTCACAGCAGAAAGCCCTAAATTCTGTCAGTACGTTCAGGAAAGGCTCTTACATCAGCCTGAGCCTCACTTTGCTCGTCTGTAAAAAAAAAAAGAAACCCCTGTTTCTGTAAAAACGAAAGGAAAGGAATCTCAGAGATTTTAAAAACGTATTATTTTAAGTCTGTTGGGCTTCTTATGCTGGGTGGCTTATAAGCAATTAGGAATTTATTTCTTAGCCTCATGGAGGCTGGGAAGACCAAGATCAAGGTGTTTATTGAGGGCTGATTCTTACAGACTGCTGTCTTTCTCACTCTGATCTCACATGGCAGAAGAGGCAAGGCAGTTCTCTTGGGTCTCTTTCACAAGGAAGCAAATCCCGTTTACGAGAGGTCAATCTGCATGATCTAATCTCTTCCTTCAGGCCCCACCTCCTAATGCCATCATCTTAGGTATTAAGATTTCAACACATGAACTGAGATGCAGAGGGATACCACTCAGATTCAATCCACAGCAACCGGTTTTTAAGTCTGGAGACTCCCCTGCTCTGGCATCTGCCTGACAGCCACTGCTGTGACGGCCATGGGTGTGTCAAGATACTGTGGGATCTTTGCTCTTTGTTGCTATTAGGTGACATTGATTGAGGCCTCACGACATGCTAGAACTTTTCTAAGTATTTTACACGAACGTACGCATTTAATCTCTACAATAACTCTATGAGACACATTTTTATCAGCTCATTTTAAAAATGCTAAAACAGACAGTGAGAGGCAGAGTTATTATCTAAGATCTCATAGTCAATAAAAGGTTACACTCTCAACGTCTTGGTTTGACTACTTCTATCAGGAGACGCTCCGTAACACTCGTTGAGTGAAAGAGAAATCAGCAAGCAAGGACTCCTAAGGCCAAAGGCAAGTGACCTGAAAACCACCAACGCATTGCCTCCTAGAAGTAGTCTCTCTGTACTATTTCCTGGCCAAGACTGCCTAAGCCACAGTGAAACTAAGAAGGTAGAGAATTTTCCAAAGGACACTTTCAAGAGGTTCACTGGCCCAGAGAGTGAGTTAGGACATACAGTAACAAATCTACAAAACTGAAATCCACAGAGCTGAGGCCAGTACAGGGATGCAGGTGACTGCATGTTTACCTACAGAAGTAGCTTTTCTAAAAATGCCGTATCTCATTCCCTATTTTAGAACCATAAACATGATCTTGAGGACGATTTTTCACCCCTGACAGCTCATAGGCTTTGTTCTTTGCATTAGATCAAAACCTAGATGTAAAACTGAGAAAATACCAATAAATGCCAGATAAAAGAACTGAGAATGCTGCTTTTATTGCTAACTATAAGTGTAAGCCAGAACAGTGGTTTTCTTTTTTCTTTCATATATGTTTTTCAAGCTGTGATATATTTTCTTTTTCAAATAAAACTTTACACGGAAATTATAAATAAGCGGAATCAAAGGGAGCTCCTTGGGTTGCAGGGAGGAAGACTGAATGTTCTGGGACCATATTCTCCCTCATCCAAAAGAATATTTTATCACTCCATGGTTTAAGCCTGTGAGAGAAAGAGACAGAAAGCCAGGGAGACAAAGAAAGGATCTTCAGTGTTAATTTCTGTCATTGGCCTTTACTATTATATTTAAGTTTTTCTCATTTTATGTGTTCTAATAAAGCAAAAAGTGCACATAGAGTGCTCCACAAAACTTCTAACTATGTCTGTAGTGACTCAAATAATTTACTTTGGAGATTAACTACTCCAGCAGTTATTTATTACACTTGGAATTTAGAATATTCACTTTGCAATTTTTTTTCTGATGCTTTATGTACAAGAGATGGGGTCGGACTTGTGATAAATGATAGCTCTCTACAGCACTGATCTTAAAGGAGGTGACAGATGAAGTACGGAGAAGGGAGGGCCCCCCACTTACTCTTGGAACCTTGATTCCTATCATAGGAATGTCATGGAAAAAACTGTCTGGATGAACTGATGCTATTTTCCCTGTTAACAGGTTTATTACCGGCCAGGCACACTGACTTCTCAAGGCTAGTAGATTAGTCTTAGGAGCCCAAGCATGTCTGTTCTCACCAGTTCAGCTGTTTATTTGCCAAAAGTAAGCTGTGTTTACCTTCATATTTGTTACGGCAGTTTTATTGCTTAGGCAATAATCTAATTATTAACCATATATATAACAAATAAGAAGAGTGCCAAAAAAAACACACAAAAAACAAAAAAACAAGGGCCGGGGAGATACCTGCCTGGCAAGCTCAAAGTCCTGAGTTCAATTCCTGGTACCAAAAAGAAAAAAAAAAAAAAGAATGCAAAACTAAATTTGGGAAACTCTTGAAAAAGTTTGAAAAAGGTAGTCACAAACCACAGCTTTCAACTTAGGTGGATGCTACAATGTGAAGGAGAAAAATCTGGAAGGAGTCTGCAAATAAATTACTTCATAAGTATCTTTAACTTCTTGATTCACTTTAAGGAAATAAACTGGAAATCAAAGAAGATACACAATACTTACAGATTATGAAAATAAGAAAACTACAATAGTCTAAGCAACATAAGCCAGGCTCGAAACTTTGGTCCTACATCAAAACACTTACAATTAAATGTGCATTTATACATTTTTACATTAAAACAAAATGGTTGAAGCAGAGAGATTTTTAATGATTATCCATTTTAACTGACTTTACAATTTTTAAATTTTATTGTGATTGACAATTTATAATTGCACATATTTATGAGGTGTACGCTAGTTGTCACTAAGACAGGACTAAGAGACTCCTGGAGAGGTGACTGGATTATGAAGTCACAATAATTGGTGATGACCTCATAACTGCAGAGGCTATTAAGAGGTGGGGTCTACTTGGAGGAGGGAATCACAGAGGCATAACCTTGGGCACCATATCTGGTCCCTGGCCCCTTCTTCTCTGGCTCTTCCTTGCTCACTCTGGTTCCTGGCCACCATGACATGAGAAGCTTTGCTCTACTTCACCCTTCTGCCATATTTCTGCTTTGGAGACTGTCAGCCATGGACTGAAACCTCTGAAATCACGAGCCAGAATAAATTTCTCCTCCTTCAAGTTGCAGGTATCAGACGTTTTCTCCAATAGTGGAAAAGCTGACCAATATCCAGTACAAATGAATACAATGTGGAATAAATCTAATTACTATATCTATTGCCTTAAGTATTTAGCTTTTTTGTAGTGAGAACATTTGAAATTTACTTTCCTAACTATTTTGAAATGTACAATACACTCTTATTAACTATATTCACCATACCACATGGTAGAGCTCAAAACGTTTTTTTCCTGATATTTTGTTTCCTTTGACCACTAGCTACCTATTCTATTCTCCATCCTCTATAACCACCATTCCACTCTGCTTCTATAAATTAAATTGTTTTAGATGCCACATATAAGTGAGAGTATGTGCTGTTTGTCTTTCTGTGCCTGACTTACTTCACTTAGCATGTTCTCCAGTTTTACTCTTATTGTTAAAAAGGACAGAACTGTGTTCTTTTAAAAGGCTGAACAGTATGCTATTATGTACCCCATTTTCTTTATCTATTCATGTGCTGAAGAACACTTGCGCTGATTCCATTTCTTGGCTATTGTGAATAGTTCTTCAATGAACATGGGTGTGCAGACATCTCTTCAGTATACTGATTTCAAGTCTTTTGGGTAAATACCCTGAAGTATTTAGCTGCACCATACAGTGGTTCTAATTTTAGTTTTTTGAGAAACTTCCATGTTTTCCAAAATGGGTACACTAAATTCACATTTCCAGTGGGGTTTTTTTGTTATTAAAAAACAATCGGTACCAATTGTTGATAAGGAAGCTTCTGTTATATATAATTCGTTCTTAATCTTCATATAAATGCCAAGTTTAAATGGCAAATTTTCTACTTGGTCAATTTTAAAACTAAAAGATCAGCTCATATGTTAGACAAATCAAAATACACTCCACATAGGACAATCAACATCTATTCAAGCTCAACCTACCTCATGTTCTAAAAACAGAGCTTTCAGCTGTCCTTTGGACCAAAAATCCATGGCATATGCTAGCAGCTTCATAGAGACCATATTAATTCTGAGGAAATTCCCAACAAACACAACTCTGTCAATATTCTGAAAAAAAGAGTTAAAGAAAAACAAATGAATGTGGCATAAAAGTAACATTTAGCAAAGATCAAATGCTCTGTGTGTCTTTGTACACAACTTTGCACAGTGAATTTTTAAGTGGAACTGTTTCAACATCTCCACAAGGAAGCTGAACAAATCTCATAGTACATTCCACAAGTACTGGAGAGTGAGATTTTGGTTGGGCAAAGCAGAAGCAGATACTGGTCTTTCTTGCAGCTGTTATGTCAGATTGCATTAGGTCTGACATGAAATTCAGCTTCCCACACATATTAAATTGTAACTGGAGTTCAAATTTCAGCTAAATTTTCTTGTACATTACCTTAACCTCTCATAGTTCCAAGTATAAACTATTATTATAACTGACTCATAAATGAAATGCTGATGGCATGGTTCATTCATCTAATGAGTTCACTCTGTGCTGAATACTGGGAATATAAAGCAGAAACAACAGTCTCTGCCTTTGGGATATATGGTGAAATATCCCGTTTCACCAACATGTGGGCTAAGATATGACAACACAGCCAGGTGTGGCAGCGCGCACCTGTTATCTTAGCACTGGGGAGGCTGAGGCAAGAGGATCACCACAAGTTTGAGGCCAGCCTGGGCTATGCAGTGAGTTTAAGCATAGCCTGAATTACATAGCAAGACCCTGTCTCAAACAAAAAGAAAATATGATAACACAAAATACATGTGTATTTTTGTCACCATGGATATAGATTTCATTCTAAACACACACTTATGAACATTCTTTTCCTGTCCTGTCCCTGCAGACAGGCTTCAAATCCCCTGAGCTTCCATCTCCAGTGTACTTTCATTTCATGGCACTTTCCACTCTCAAGGTATTTCTTAAGCTTAGTACTGAGCTGAGCCTGTCTACCTTGCAGAGACTGCTCAGCACTCACTCAGCACAGACAGCTATTATAGTCACTCAGCAAAGGTAAGAGAGTACTTGATGGTGGCATTATTTTCTGCTCTGGCTATTGGAAGTAATCAGGGTCTGGGAACATCACTTTTTAACTCTTACAAATTTTAATAACACATGTTTATGAGGTCATTAGCAGCTGAAAATTTTCCATGTGTGAAGGGGTCAAGAGTGACTAAGAAGTTCCATTAAAAAATGAACCATAGCAACAAACTGCCCATACTAACAGATGGGAAGGAACACTTAAAGTAAGAAAAACTAAGGAGGAATTTTATCAAACTTAGGAAGCCCAAGGTAGGACTTGCTGTATTACCATGGTAGAAAGCCAAAAGGAGTACAAGTAGCGTAAAAGCTGATGAGCATTCTGTATTTCAAATAAATTCCAGATGGGTCAAAAAATCGAATGTATATAAGGGAAGGAAGGAAGAAAGGAAGGGAAGGAGGGAGGGAGGGAGGAAAGAAGGGAAGGAGGGAGGGAGGGAGGGAGGGAGGGAAGGAGGGAGGAAAGAAAGAAAGAAAGAAAGAAAGAAAGAAAGAAAGAAAGAAAGATGGAAAGAAGGTCCAAAAGAAAAAAGACTAATGGAAAACATGAAAAAAAATTTAAAAGTAATTTAAATAGAAGTATAATGTTTAATATTCATTAAAAATTGGTATATTTACTTGAAAAAAATCAAACATCTATTCAGGGGGAAAATCACCACAAACAAATCCAAAAGTAAGCTATAAATGGAAAATATTCTTAGTACATACCATATAAAATGGATTTGCCACCTAATTAACAGTTTCCACAAGTCAGTAAGGAATTAAATGAACATTTCAACAGAGAAATGGATGAACAGTATTAACAGACTGCTCATGTGTACATAAAAGGGAAAATACTAATGGCTATTAAACACATGGAAATGTTTTAACGTAAGGAGGTACCTATTAAGTTTGAAAAGATGAAAAATTTGAGAAACTTTGGGGAAATTTGTATTTTTATACTCTGGTGGGAACATAAATTATAACCATCTTTATGGAGGGAATTTTATAGTATTTACCAAAATAACAGTCAACATATTCTTTAGAATCAGCAATTTCCTTTCTGGGCATTTATCTTATATAGGCATAATGACGTATATGCAAAATTGTGTTTGTACATACACATATGTGTGTCTATGTGTATACTATATATAAATGTACTGTGAGCTTTTTCTGGAAAGGAGGTGAGTTACTAAGGTAGGGACTTGCTATGTAGTTCAGGTTGGACTTAAAGTCACTGCGTACCTTAGGCTGGCCTTGAACTCAGAGATCTTCCTACCTCAACCTCCTGAGTGCTGAGATTACAGGCATGTGCCACCAAGGCCGGCTTTGCAAGTTTCATAATAGTGGCACAATAGTAGAAAAAATAAAGTCTCATTAGTAAAACAAATCAAAGTGGCATATCTGTGTGTTAAAAACAACAGAATTTAAAATATACTGATATGAACAAGCTAAAGATATGTTATTTTAAAAAGCAAGAGACTTTTCAGAGTGGCATACAAATACTTGTAGATTGGTATAGTAATTCGGATTTGCTTTCTGATATTTTAGTAAAAAAAAAAAACAAAAGATGAGAAGAGCAGAAGGAGGAATAAAACAGATAAAGCATGTATAACAATGTCTTGACAACTGTTGAGTCCACACTAATGGATAAATGGAGGTTCTTGAAGCTATTCTCTTTCCTATATGTACACTTACTGATTTTCACAAGAAAAAGCTGATAAAGCAAGATGTAGAATAGTAGGTAGAGGGCAAACTGTATGGTTTGTGATTATATCTCAGTAAAACTTTTATTTAAAAAAAGGGTGCTATGTAGAGGTCATTACCTTTGGAAGGCTATATTAATCTTATATACAATAAAAGATGAAAACAAACTAACAAACTATGGCTGCCTATATCTAGTGAGGTACTTGCTGAGATACAGGATGAAAATGATGACTTACTCCCCTCTAGGTCTTTTCTGCAGAACTCTGCACAGTATGTCTGTATTTCCTACTCAGAAATATAAATGAGAAAATTTAAAGTTGATGAGGAAGCATTTCAGAGCATTCTGACCATCATAACTCAAATGTTTTAATGTGGTGCCAGTAAATACGGTGCCACCCTCTGTGAAATGACTGGAATCAAAGACTGTCAAGTCCACAACTCCAAAGAGCCATGCAAGGACTGAAAACCCTGGCTCCTGCTCACACAAGAAAATTTGATGCTGTCAGTCACTGATGTGCCCCCTGGGAGCCCCAGCTGGCTTAACACCCTTGGCCCTGAGGGAATAAATGGAGTCCCCCTATTCATTAAACTCTTAGAAACATCTAAAGTTGTTGCTCAAACCAGTATTTAACAGGATTACATTTCCAAATAGTGAAAAATAGCGGTCTTTTCCCGAAGGGACTAAGGATACCTGTGCAGAGACCTGCTGGCTCACTCCAGCCACAAATGCAAGGCCAAAGGCAGGCTCTGTGGCAAGTAGGGGAAAGGGCATCTATTGCTCTGTGGAGCAAGGGGTATCACCAGGGAACTGACCTTTGATAGCGCATGAGTACAGCCAGCTACACAGTCTTACAGCTTGTTTGGCCACTTGGAAAAACACCCTTCAAGGCTGAATGCCAAAAAATAAACATTCTGCTACAACAAAGCTCATGACCAAAGTGGACTTTGAAAAAGCAGTCTCTGAAACACTCTTGCTTGAGTATCAGCCTCCCAGTTAAACTACATCTGAGCTAGGGACTTCCAAAAAGTTAGGACCCTACCATATGTCAGTGTTATAAAAGACAGCTCTTTTGTAACCCCAAAGCTCAAATGCAGGGCTAGCACCCACCCATTACAAAGAATGCCTTGTACCCTGACTCTTCAACTGGGCTCTTCAAGAGGCCCCTTGGAGGGGGTTTCTAAGTATCTGAAATGTTCTGTTTCTTGATCAGCATGGTAGCTATGCAGCTGTTCATCTGTGAACATTCACCAAGTTGTACAATTATGATTTTCGCTCTCTCCCATGTTCATATGTCATATTTCTACTAAAATGATATATTTCAAAACTCTACTGCTCATCTACTACTATGGTTCTTTCTTATTTCTCCTACTCCTTGCTCCATGCTCCAATGTCCTTTCCTCATTCTCCTAACACAACTCAGTAAAGGGAGTTGTTCCACTTTGTAAGCCTTGTGATTCAAAGAGGTCCATTTTCTCAAAAGAAATTTTGCAATGTTTTATAACGTGTTAATAAGGCTGCCTCTGTCACCTACTCCACACCTCCTTAGGCCTGGGGCTCTGGGTGGCCGTGGCTGTAGCAAGCTCTCTGTGCTTTGATAGCCCTGTACAATGCTGCTTGAACTCCATGCCACAAGGCAACACTGTAAAGAAGCTGAAAGCAAAGAGAATATCAAATGTGAGTGGAAGCATCTAATCTACAATATTTGCAAGGATAGTTGCGGCTCTTCCTCGCATTTTAAGAGGCACATGGCAATGACAGGTTAAGGTGTGGGTTGGAATTTTACCATGTTTCCACAGCTGGATCATTCATCATGTATAATCCTGTGTCTACTTAAAAATAAACACATACAATACACATCCCTCCCACTCTATGAAGTGTGAATTACATCGTGAAGTGTAGGTTTCCCAAGGATAGACATAAGGTTTTGTAAGAGGCAGCAGTTACCACACTGCCCAAAGCAATGTGTAAGAATGACACGTGGCTTTCCCTGGGCCACCTTACCTCATTCAGTGCACACATCCGGGCGATGGAGCCGATGTTATTAGTGATGGTGACCAGCGTGGCCCGGGCAAGGTCTTCCTTGCTGATCGACTCTCGTTTTTCTTTACTCATCATGTTGCCAAAGCTATGTTGGAAATAGCAGTGAAAATTTTCAAAATCATCTTCAGTCAGGACCCATGCTTCTACCATGGTACTGTGAAAAGCTCGGAATAACTGTTCAAACTCAAGAGACCTGATTTTTGTTACCACAATTTATAAGCAGACAGAAATATAGTATGAATGCCTGGCAGTCCCTTCCTTAAGAGGGACAAGACAGTAAGGCTATTAATGCAGGTGGGGGAGATTTTTTAATACCTGTAGACATCTGGTTAAGAATGAAACAGGGGAAACCGTTGCAGATTTCTAGAACCTTCTTTCAAAGTTGCCTTATTTTAAGCACAAACATAAGAGCAAAATATGTCAGTGCTTCATAAAGGACAGGAGATCAAGTCTGAGATCTGATATGATAGATACTTGCACCACATTGGTAGGCTGAAAATTTTAATAATAACTAAGTGAATGGCCCGGGTGGAAAGGCTGCTCTAAGTTTAATCACTACCGCTCCTAGCTGCTTAATCTCTACCTTGATGCTACAGCAGATCCTTGAAGGCCAAATCGTTCATAGTCTCCTCCGTAAATGTCCTTCACCAGCTTATCGACATTGGTGCTGTCGCCTTTAGCTGCCATTTCCAGAGCTTCTTCAAAGGTCTCACAACCAGTCAGCAAGCAACATAGGCCTAGGAATGTTCCACCTCCAAGACTGAAGGAACAATAAGGTTTATTTTTTAAATTTTACTTTAAGATATGCCCATCCAAGCCCAGCTACAGTAAGACTATTAATATGGGTTAAGAAAAATAGAAGAAAAACAAAGGGGCACTTGAATTAAAGTGCTAGAATGCAAAAGGACTTTATGATAGATTGGATAAGAGGGCAGAAACTAAAACATCACAGAAAACTTGCCCCTAAATTTGAGAACAAAAGTGGAGAAACACTCTCACTGATTGTGAGACCTTCATCTAGCCACTACCCTAAACACTTCAGTCTTCCACCTATAAAACGGGGCCAAATCATGATCTCTTATATTTGGGCAGTCTGAAAGCAGCAAATAACCAGAGAAATGACTGATACTTTACAAACCTGTGTAAATACTAATACCCAGAAAAATGGTGTGACCATAGTTCACAACTATGGAGCCAAACTCTGGTGACAAAATGCAACCAGGATGCTGCCGGCAGCAACCAGCCCAAAGGCTGTCTTCTGTTTGACTTTACTTGACCTTCTGCTTGACTCTCTCATTCCACCTCCTCAGAGATGTTAAGAACAAAACTGTTAACCTATGTGATGTTGGAATGTTTTCTACTAAACTTTGGAAAAGGTTACTGGCATTTTACTTACAACCCAAGAGTGAAACATAGTAACAAAAGTCACAAAATGGTTCCAATTCTTGAACTATGTTTTAAAACAACTGAAGAATTCTTTTAGGCTAAATTCCTTTAAAATTGTCATTTTTAGACAAAAGTCACAAATTATAGTAGTTAAGAATCCACTCGACTGTGTGCTAGTATCAAAGTTACTTAGTAAAGAAAAATAGATTCAGGTTAAACCTACCACCAGCAGACTCCTAGCAGTAAAATAACTACCAAGGGAGTCAGAAGGAAAAGGAGCTCTGATTGCTAAACCTGAACACAGGTTTGAGGTTTTGTTTACCAAGTGGAAGAATAAATATAAGAAAGTTGCTTTACAGTCCCAAAGAACTACTAGTTCTGGGAACCCAATTTGCTTTAGGATGTTGGCTTTTAGCTCTAAGAAAAAAATCAAGTTGAGATTAAAATTATTTTGAACTAAAATTAGAAATAAGAAAATTAATGGTAAATGATGTTTACTGCCAGTAAAAGTTAACAAGGAAGTATTAGATTATAGAGAGGTATGCACATAATTCTTTAAGTTGCACTTATAACCAAAGTATGTAACAGTTTTAGATGTTTCTTATTGAAATAGTTCCTCAGGCTGGGGTATACCTCAGTGGCAAATCGTTTGTCTAGCATGTGGGAAACCCTGGCTTTCCAAAACAGCAAAAACAAAACAAAACAAACAACACTCCTTGATTGAAATTATGGGTTCTTGGAAAAGTCTGTAGCTAGCCACGATCAGTAGCAGTTAGCCAAATCGTGGGTACAGTGCCATGAAGAAACAAAGAACTCCGTGTAAGTTCTTCCAGAGAAAAATCAGTCACACTAGAAAGTCTGGATTTCTTCTAAGAAAGCTTATCTTCACTTATATTTAATACGGCATACTATGCTGCTTCAGAAAGATAAGCACAAGCTTTTTTTGGTGTGTGTGGTACTAGACATTTTACTCCGGGCCTGCCAGGTTCCACGCAAGCACTCTACCACGGAGTTAAATCCCCAGCCCTGCTAGTGGGTTTTAATTAATGGAAAATAACTTTTGGGTTGTGTGCCATCCAGATTTGTTTTGTTTTCTCCCTGCATATTTCTGAAAAGAAGTCTTTGTTTACATTTCTAGCTTCTCAGTACCCTTTATTCCTACTTTTCATTGAACAATAGGGATTCATCTTAAGGTACTCAACACGCTACTCGAAATGTGGGCAACTGAAGACATTGGCTGACTTAGAAAGAAGGTAACTCAGCTGATGTGTTTGTGCAGTGAAAAGGGGCAAGAACGACTGGAAAATGACAGGTGACTCCAGATAAAGAGCTGAATGGGAAAAGCGAGCATGCATTAGCACAGCTGAGACACTGCGAAGAGGAGGAAGAATGCAAGAGCCAAGAGCCTGCTAGCACTTTTATTGATATCCTCAACTTGTTAACCACTATTTAATCCAGGAGTTCCTTACTCATGATCAGACACATCTCTTTGTCAGATAAGCAAAACCCTCAGTATATCAGAGACAAAAATATGTTTCCAGGAAAAGCCTCTGAGTATTATCATTACTCATAATAAAATATGTTAGAAAGTAGAAGAAATCTTCAGTTACTCATTTTCATAATTGTTGAGACTGGCAGAACACTGGTCACTGATGACTGTCCCCTCAAATGAATTCCAAATGATCGACTGAGATGGACTGCTGCTTTCATTAAAGTTTCAAAGTTTTACATTCCTCTTAATAGACCATGCATTCTAACAACATCAGCTATAAAGAATTTTTTCCATTGGCTTCCATACGAAACTTAGGGTAGCATCACTAAAAAAAAATGTTGCTACCCAATCTGTGATACAACTAAATTACACATAAGCAGATCTTATAAAATCATGTTTCAAAGAAATCAGATCTTGTAATGATATAATAGGAAAATATAGTATAATTACATAACATAAATTTGGATCTTTATATCAGTTCAAAATTTAAAGCTTAAGCCATTTCCTTAGAGGAGTGATTCCCAGTGTGTTTTACACACTGATATCTACTCTTAACCATAATAATTTATATCTTAGATTTTTAAACTTGAATCAAAAGAAATCTATGGCAGAACAACTCTGGTTAGCCAAGGGTCATGGGCTCCACTGACTGGAGGTTTCATTCCCATCTACTACCTGTGGCAGCCCCTGAGAGGCACTTATTACCCTTCAGATGCCTGTAGCAGGTTTCCAAACCCATCCTTGGAAGAAAGAGCTTACAAGGAAGATTGGGCATCGAGACAGGATTTGTTGACTGTAGAACACCGGTCATTAACGTGCATTTAGCAGTAACTAGAATTTACAGGTATTATTACTTGCATAAAAGAAGCCAAACATTGCAATGGTTCCTTAGCAGCTATTCAACAGGACCCAGACCCCTTCGTTTTCCACGCTGAGAACATACATGTGTGGTATTCATCAGTAAAACTGTAAATATCTCTAACTGTGGAAAATGTTTACCTTGCTGTTCCTTGGGACTGGCTTTAACAATTCAACTACTCTTTCTGGGAGAAAGTCTGAAATTTCTTTAAAATTTTATCTTTACAAGGAGATCAGGCTCTAAGGTAAAACCAGCTCAGCCAAAATATTCCTGTCTGTAATACTCCTGACAGTTCTAATGTGGACATGGGTCAGTTTTATCTGAGCATCTGAGCAAGTCTGTAAGTTTCTGCATTTTCAGTGAGAAAATGTATGCCTAGTAGCAAATAACTGATGTAACAGAGCCTACACTCTGGACCCAAGCAGGCTTCCGTCGGTGTGTGTGTGTGTGGGTGTGGGTGCACGCGTACGCATGCATGCACATGCAAACCATAGTTTTTCAACAGCAGCACTACTGCTATTTGGGGCTTGATAATTTGTTGTTGTTGGAGGAGCTGCCTGTGCATTGTAGGATTTTAGTAGTATCCCTGACTTCAACCTATAGTTACCAGTAGCATCCCACCTCCAGTGGTGAGAACAAAAAGTATCTCCAGACATTGTCTAACACCTCCTGGGGGCGACTAATCTTCCTTCCATCACATGTTATGAAAAATACTAGAAAAACCAAGCTCACCTGCTAGTGAGGGAGTAATACTGCAGAATTTGAGTTCTAGAAAAACTATCCAAACAATAGCCTTCATGGCAGGAATGAGGATAACGAAGCCCAGAGAAATAATATATCTATCAAAAACGATGGTTTCAATATCATGTTCCAAGCATAGTCTACATGGCACTAGTTCCTTAAGTTATTCCTCTAAAAATGGTTGTGTGGTCCAATAAGTTAGAGAAATGCCTCAGCAAGGGAAACCTGTTTGATTTTGTTTACTTTTGGTTCTGAAAGATACTTGTTAACAGAGCTGTTACCCATGTTGAATCCCCATTAGCATCAAGCTGAGCCCATTTGGCCTCCTGTGGCCCTCAGGTATGTAGACTGAAACATAAAGCATTCTGACAAACTGTGATCACAGCGCTGGCTGTTTTCCTGTCTACTGTATCCCAAAATTCCCAATTCAGTGATTGTGCTTACTATTCCAGTTTTCACCTAAAGGATATCTGAAGAGAAAATTCATTCTTCATAAACCTTATTTTGTTTGATGTTTGGAATGATGTATTAATTCAAGCAATTCACCCTGTGCTAGGCACCACTGAGGTTTAAAAGATGGTTTCTACCAAGCTTGCTTTGACCATGCTAAGCTCCTTCTATCTCACTTCTAACTGGACTTACTGTCGTTACCGTTTCATTGGCACTTAATCCATATCGCCTTGTTGGTAAACTTCTAATGTACACAACCCTTCTTCCCTCAACCTGCCCATAATTTACAGAAAGGCAAAGACTATGTTTTATTAACTTTTATATTAGTCATCCTCTTACTCTTTTAATATGTCACCCAATAAATCCTTTGTGGTTTGTAGAGGAAGCCACGATTTTTCAAATATAAATTCAATATAGTTTTACAATACACTGGTTATCAAGGAGGAGGTCTGGGTTTAAGCATAAAGATGTTCACCTAGCAGAAAATATGTTTACCTGGTCCCTGTAACTCTTTTGTAGTTGTCCTTGGAGTACACTGCTAAAATGCTGACACCTGATCCCATGTTAACCAGCAACATAGGGTATGGGTTATCAAGGCAGTACGGCTTTTTTTGACACAATTCGGGATTTGTGGGATTTTCAAAATAGTAACATTCCGGTTTGCCATTGAAGCCAACAGAGTCAACATAAAGCAGACCCTGAATCAGACAGTCCAGTTCATCCAGTTTATGGAGCTGCAGGTCAGCGATCTGAAAGAGAACAAAACCTTGTGAGATGCTGAGACCACCTCGGAGGAAGCCTGGAAGACCTTGGTTGGACTTAACATTGGCTCATTCACTTTAAAAGAATGAAAACATCCTTGAAAAAACAAGGTGTAAAATCTTGCTCACAATCTGTCAATCCCATGGGAAAGTAGAAGTGCTAAAGTATAGGAGGTTGCCTGGTTGCTGGAAAAGGATCCTTGAGAAGGCGTAGTGGGTTGAATGGTGGCCCCTGTCCATGTCGTAATTCTGAGAACCTGAGAATATGACCTTGTTTGGAAAAAAGGGTTTTTGCAGATGTAATTGAAACCTCGAAGAAGACATCCGAGATCATCTGGGTGGACACTAAATCTAATGACAAGAATCTTTACAGATTCATACAAGGAAGATAGAAGAGACACGGAGAAGGCCTCACATGAGGATTAAGGCAGAGATTGGAGTGCTGCACCATGGGCCAAGGGAGGCCAGCAACACCAGAGCTACAGAAGGCAAGAGAAGAAAGTTCTCCAGTGTCTCAGAAGAAATGCAACACTTTGATTTTAAAATCTGGTGTTCAGAACTATGAATAAATATATTTTTGTTATTTTAAGATACCAAGTTTGTGGTAATTTGTTATAGCAGCTGTAGAAACCTAATACAGTATGCTACAAAGAGGGGTCTCTCTCACAGGGTAAGCAGAGTAAGAATATTCAGAAAGCAATGAAAATCTACACTTCCTCGACAGAGGATAGTGTCCCAAAGGCCTGCTAACTGGAGAGAATCTTCTTTGAAGCCACAGAAACGAACTATCTTTTTCTCAGGGTTGGGCTCTAGATCTGGTTTTAAATCATAGCTCCAAAACTTACTTAACTGAAGAATTCAAGTGAGTTATTTAACTTCTCAAACTTAAGTTGCTCATCTGTAAAGTGGGAATAATAATACCCCCTGCATAATATAGCAGTGAAGATTACAGACTGTGTGCTAGTAATATACATGAAGTGCTTGCATAGGGCTTGGCATGTACAAAGGGCTTACTGGTGGGGGTGGTGTCAGAGTTGTCTTTACAGGCTCTTATGAGATAAAAACTCCAGTCTCCTACGTACAGGGGGAAAACAATAAAAGGGAATGACCTGGTTGTGGGCTAGCCTTAGAGGCCAATAACTACTCTGCCTCCCCAAAAGTTTAATTCATGATCCTTAAAAATAAACCACTGGCTCAAAAGTCTAGGCTGATAATCACTTTTTATGGACCAGGAAACAACAACAACAATAAAACAACTCCTACAACAACAAAAAACTAAACTAAACTAAATATCACCAACATGAGACTCAACCAATAAAAGAAGATACCATGCAATTTCTCACAAAATCTTGTAAGTCAGTACCACTAACCCTATTCTGTGGTTCAAGTTCATAAAGCTTAAATAACTTTCCCTAAATGACCTAGCAAGTATCTCCCAGTGACTCCCTATTCTACTGTCTTCCTTGCCACAATGGGCATTGTTTCTGGGATCTGGAAACAATTTATACAAGTACTAGACTTAGATATTTTACCAGAAAGATGATCTTTATTACCAAAGTTAACAACCAGAAGAAAACTTTTGACTTTGTGCCATTTATCTGCATTTTCTATTTAACAGAAAGGACCTACAAAACAAGTTAGTTGGAACAGCTAACCAGTCAAGTGGTAGAAGGATTCATGACACATGAAAATAAATGTTCTAAAGTATTCTTGGTGATAAGGTAAATGTATCACATAAATGGCTCCAAGTATTTCATTTTTTAATCTAATGAACCATTTGGATGAAATGCATGTAATTTACACATATTTTAAGAGGCCAGTGCTGTAGGTATAAAAATAACTGGAGACCTGAAAGATTACCAGCATAGCCAGACAAATACTACCTCTTTTATCCCCTTTGATTCCACAGTCTGTATTGCACTTACAACATTTTTCGCAATCTGGCTTGTTTTTCAGGCACCTGTCAGTACCATGCTCAAACACATACCCCTAACTCATTGCTTCATAAAAATATATTCAATAGAACAGGGAAAGTTATCACTGCATGGATCACTCCAAGTTGAAAAGTCGAGATTTCATCAGCAAGTCCTGGGACCATAGGTTAACCTGCTTAAAAATTAATCAGAGGTTCATCAACAACATTGACTGCCAAGCACAGAATCAATATAATAAACATCAACACAGATACAGTCTGTCCATCTGAGAAGCCTGAATTTATACTGTGAAAAAATACAAACGTCAAGGCAAATAAACTAAGCACATACAACTTTCATCTGAAAGGAAACACTGTTACTTCACCTTTCACCTCAAAATTATTTTCAAATAAAGTAACAGCAGACAAACATCTTTTCTACACATTTTGCTGAGGAATGGACATCCTGGAGCAGCCCCCTTTGGTTAAAGTGGAAACAAAGACATTGGTCACTTTCATGGAGACCTATGGGAAAAAGAACAGGTCCCCAGGTATGGATAATTAGTCAAACTGCTACCTGGATTTTTAAACAGGCCATGTGAAATTCCAAGTTGAAAATTAATCACCAGACTGTAATTTGTTAATAAACCTGAATTAACTTATTGGAAAGCTTAAAGCAGGCTACTAATATCCCAGCCAAGGAGAAACACTATCTTTGGTATGCATGTTTTTTAAATCAGAGGCCACAAATGCAAATGCCTAAATAAGGCAATACGAAAACATGGAGGAGAGAAGCCCTTGATTAGTATGCAAATAAAGGGACATGGGGACTAGTCAACAGGACAATCTACACGTATTCACAATTCATCTGTAGCTCACTGCTGCCATGTGGTAAAGAGGCCCCACTCTTGTTAGATAATCCTAGTTTTCAAAATCTAGATTTCACGAGTCAGAAATCCACATTTTTATGTGAAATCTTTTAATTTTTAAATGTTGGCAGCAATTTGATAACTTTTATCTACACACTGTAGGTCAAAAAATGTCTGTTATTTTATACACAGTTGCTAATTCTTGGATATTGTCTGTCGCTCAAAGGTCCATGTGGTAAGACTGTAGTCCTTAGTGTGGAGATGCAGGAGTTGACATAAATATTCAGAGGACCTTAGGTATTGGGAGTGCTGCCTTGAGATGCGTATGCTGGTCTCCTGCACTTAGGTCTTATGAGAGTGAGATGTTATAAAAGACTGACCCTGACCTCTGGGTCTCTCTCATATTTTGAGATCTGATGCCACTCTGCACTTACACCCAGCATCTGCCAAGGTTCCTCTAGAATCTACATCATGCTGTTTTGACTTTCAGCCTTTAAAACTGTGAGCAAAATATATTTTTCTTATGAAGTTAGGCTGATTATGATGGTCTATCTTGACTGTCAACTTGATCAGCTTGACAGATGCCTAGAAAATTAGTAAAGCACACTCTGGGTAGATCATATAGTGCATAGGTCATGGGAGCATTCCCTGTGTACTTTATCTAGTCTATGGCTCTTTTGTCTCTGGCTCTTCCTTGCTCCCTATGCTTCCCAGATATCATGAAATGAGCAGCTTTCCTTCATCATGCCTTTCTGCTACAATGTTTCTGCCCTGGAGCCAGTTGACCAAGGAGTAAAATCTCTGAAACTGTGAACCAAAATAAACTCTTCCTCCCTTATGTTGTTTTCCTCAAGTATTTAAACACAGTGGTGAAAAGATCACTAAAACAAAAAACTGGCACCAAGAGTAAGGTTGTTGCTATAACTGTACCTAACCATGTGACCAGAAGCCTTTGAAACTGGTTTGCAGGAAGTTTGGGGAGGTTTGGATATGTGAGATAGTGAAAGTCTAAAAGACTGCAAGCAGAGATTTGTAGGTTCTTCTGGTGGGAGCTCAGGAGTCCAGACTGCTGATAGGAATACACACAGTAAAGACTGCACGAGGTTTCAAGTAGGAATGAGGACTCTAGTGGGAACTGGACTAGAGACCATATGTGTTACATTGTACAAAAGATTCTGTCTACATTTTGTCCGTGTCCTAAAACTTTGTATGAAGCTCAGTTTAAGAATGACTAATTGGTCTGGTGGAAGAAATTTCAAAGCAGCCCAATGTTTAAGCAGAGGCACAAGTACTGCTGGCTGCTTTTAGCCAGGTTTATAGGGAGACTCAGGAACAAAAAGAAGAGCACAAGAATTAAAAAGCCATTTGAAGTGTGACCTGAAAAGAAGTGCTTGTAGCCAGTCACTGTGGTACACACCTGTAATCCCAGCACTTGGGAGGCTGAGACAGGATGATCACCATGAGTTTGAGACTCAAATTCTGTGTAAAGAACGGAAGCTAATCAAAAACTGTGTAGATCCTATCTGTAGAATTTTGACAAAGAAGCTACTATATTTACCCATTTTGCCAAACAAAAATGTGGTTCTAGGGACCAGCAGACTAAATGACCTACTTGGGATCCCAAGGATAGCAAGTAGAAGAGATAATAAATAATTATAGCTATTAAAAGACCCATATTCTTTTGCCTGGCCCAGTCACCCAAACAAGTATGGGCATAGGGGATTTTTTAAGCTTTAGGTACACCAGAATCACTTGGAGAATTTGTTAAAGCATAGATTACTGGGCTCCATCCTTAGAGAATTTCTAAATGCATTTCTAATCACATTTATAGCAGTATCCTACCTAAAGGTGATGCAGCTGGTACCAACAACACACTTTAAGAACCACTGACATAGGAAGAGGAGCATAGTACTTGGCACTAAAGTTTGGAAAATGAGCCCATCATCACATCCCAGCAAGTGTTTAATAAAATTACATAATCTGCCAAATAGCATCTGTCCTAGATAACTCATAGGGATGATTTCAAGAATTAAATGAGATGATTGTATGAAAATGCTTTGGAGTCTGGATGTGGTGGTGTACGCCTGTAATCTCAGTACTCAGGAGGCTGAGTTAGGAGGATTGCTGTGACTTCAAGGTCAGCCAGGGCTACAAAGTGAGTTTAAGGACAGCCTGAGCTGCACAGTGAGACCCTGTCTCAAAAAGAC